CTAAATCACATTTGCTCTATGAAGGGTGTATGGCAGCCATAGCTTCACAAAATTGCATATTTCTACCATGATGGCCAAATTGTACGGACATATAATTAATCAGAAGACTACTAATTCAGCACACACCCAGTTATAAAACATCATGTAATATTTTGGTGACTTAATACTCTATAAGTGTGGCCCTAATTAAAATTATCTGATATAATCACGCCTGCTTGATCAACTGTTGATTTCTACATCAAGATAGCATCTTTTCAATCCTGCCTTAACTAATTGTTTATTTTACTTACATAAGTGAGATAATATTTTGGGTTTAATCAAAGACTCAAATATTTAAGAAATGCTCAAGTTTGACATTTGAATAATCAGAGAACATCATTCTTATCTAGCAGAAAGAATACAAATACAAAGTTGTTATTTGCTCTAAATGTTGCCATTTGGACTTGTTTAACTTCACAATCTCTAATGGAGAGTATCTTATTAGACTCTTGGTTCAGGGTATGAAAACAGATAAAGAACAACTTATCACTGTTATATCATACAGTATATATATTTCTTAAGTTCTGCCTTGTTATATTTCAATTTTCTGACTCATGGAAGATAATAATTGCTGAAAAGATGCTCCTAATTATGATTCAATTACTGCATGACACTTTGGATAAGTGCATTGTGTAATAAGTGTGTCTGTTGATAAGTAAGTGGTAAGTCACCTTGCCTAGCCAACGACTAAAATATTTCAAATATATGTCAAAAATCCAAAATAATAGGGAAATAAGAGGATAAAAATGAAAAAAGTAAAAACAGGCAAGCGCTCAACTCTGAATTTTTTAGAACTGCGAAAGATGAGGAATGTCTAATAGTGCTTACAGAGGAACAGAGTGAAAAAGCATGACTGATATGTTTAGCACAGGTTGTGCCACTTCACTTACCCCCTAACTGGCACAATATGGACATGGCTACTGGCTAATTGGAACCAAAGTCAACTTTTAATTGAGTCCGCTTTTTAAACAAGGAAGTAGACTTAAAGCTGATAACTACAGAGGTATAAATGTATTAGCTTGTATTGGTAATGTATTTGACTCCATTATTCAAAATCGACTTGTTTTTAACGCACAGGTACAGAATATCCAAGATCCTCTACAGGGTGCATATAAGGAAAATAGCCGTACAATTGATAACATATTTTTACTACAAACATTAATTAACAAATCTAAACTGTTTAAAAAACCTTTGTTTACATGTATGGTTGACTTCAAAAAGGCGTTTGACTTTATAGATCGATCAGTTTTGCTATACAAACTCAGTAAAAGTGGCATAAGTCCTCATACCAAAATGTATAAAATCATCGACAATATGTATTCCAAATCTCAATCTTGTCTAGAGTTAAAGAATGGAGTAACAGATTATTTTGATACTGATATAGGGGTTTTGCAAGGTAGTGTGCTTTGTACTTTCTTATTCAATCATTTCATCGATGATCTTACTTTACAATTACCAGCACACTGTGGTGTTATTTTAAACAGTAAAAGGTTAAATCATCTTCTATGGGCGGATGACCTCGTATTGATCTCAGAATCCAGTGACGGATTGCAGCTATTGCTTGACACACTTTTTTCTTTTTGTAAGATTAACAGGTTAATTGTCAACACAATGAAAACTAAAGCACTTATCTTCAATTCTAAAAGATCATTCAAATTTGAATTTAATGACCAAACTATAGAATGTGTCAAAGAATACAAATATTTAGGTCTCATTCTCACCAAAAATAACAGTTTTGATCTAAACACTAAGTACCTTAAAGAACAATCAAAAAAGGCACTTTTTAAGATAAAGCAACAATATAAGAAGTTTAATGATGTACCACCGGATGTGGCTCTTCATCTGTTTAATGCGTTAGTTAGTCCTATTTTATGTTATGCATGTGAAATATGGTATGATAAAAAGCAAATGAAAGCAATTGAGTCAATTCATTTGTCTTTTTTAAAGTCAACATTAGGTGTTAAATCACAAACTGCAAGCCCAGCTGTATATGGTGACCTAGGGAGATACCCATTATCAATCAAAATTGAATCTTACATTATAAAATACTGGCTTAGATTTCAAAATTTTCCAGAGAGTAATGTATTAAATCAAGCATACTTATATGATAGGGGTAATCAAGAGTTAGGGTTTAAAAGTTGGTCAAGCAAGGTTTATGATATACTCAGAAAATGTGATTTACTAGATTATTGGAATAATCAAAATCTGGATACTGAAAATCTGGTGAATATGGTTGAAAAGAAATTAAAAATATTGTTTGTAGAAAAATAGAAAAATGATTTGAACACTTATCCTATATTGAGAACGTACAAATTATTTAAAAATGATTTTGGTAAAGAATTGTACTTGAAACTAGATAATAAAAAGTATAGATTGGCTACAAGTAGATTTAGAATGAGTTCTCATCAGTTAGCAATTGAGACTGGAAGACATACAAAGCCAAAACCAAAACCTTTAGAGGAAAGAGTATGTAATATTTGTAAAGATGTAGAGGATGAATGTCATTTCTTTTTAGCTTGTACAAAAAATGATGAGAATAGGCAAATATTATATACAAAAGCCTGTGAAATTTTACCTAACTTGGATTTACAAAGTGAAAATTTATTTGTCAATCTTATTTCTAGTAAAAATGTAACCTTGCAAAGACATATTGGCAAATTCATTTGCCATTCATTTAAGAATTTAGCGTGGTCATAATGCATTGTGTGTGCACCACACTATTATTGTTACCTTATATATTTTTATATATTTTTTGTATTTTTAGTTTAGTTGGTGTTTTGTAGTTTAGATATGTAGTCTACCATAGTTCTGACTAATGTAATCATGTTATGATACTATATGTCAATAAAAGTTATATATAATTGACTTGGCAACTATGAAACTTATTTTTAACTTGCACTCAATTATTATTATGATTCTAGAAACTGTACTTAACTTTCAAGTTTTTCAATTTTCAATTTATTTATAGACTTGGTCTCTTGGAGATAATACCATAGAGATAAAATATAATGAGCATATACATTTTACACATTTCAAAGACTCATTTATATCTTCCATAATCTTACTTACACACTCAATTCACAAACTGGATGAGACAAATACTTTTAATGATTAAGTACATTACTCTGGATTCAAAATAAAAGCTTAGCTGTCTTTGTATTGCAAGACATTTGCACATTTTGTAGAGTCAGGTTGTCTAGATGTAATCAATCCTTTATTGATCTAAATGCTTATTCTATTTAGTTGACGCTATATTTGCGTATATCCGACATTGTTAATAATTGTAAAAAAGCTAGCTGCACTCACTTACCTGGTAAGGTAGGTTGGTAAGTGCAGGTTGAAAGTGATACAAAGATAACAATGAAGGTATATTTGATGATGCGAATTGATACAGACATGACGTTAAATTAGAAATTCCAAATTCAGAATTTCCAAAAAGGCAAGACATGTATACAGTATACAGAAATCCATCTAAATTCAGGTAATTTATTCAGATTTTAGAGAGAAAAGGCAGAAATATACATGGCAATATGGGCAAGAGAATTGTTGACATTTTTATAAATACCCTGAAGCTTCACATACCTTCTCGTTACATCCCTGGCCTGTATTATCTTTTAATACTATGCTATTCTACTTTTCTATGAACGTGAACTGATTTCTTATTTTTAAACATTTCTAATTAAATAAGATGAATTTGAAGTAAGGATATTATATTTGATCCCATGATATCAATAGTTTTCCCTGTCTATCAAACATTTCAAAAGATGACAAGCATGTCATATGAATTATAGGTAGAGTTCCTTATATGTTCCTGGTACATTAAGGACTTTAATGACAAAACAAATCATTACACGTCAATCACTAAAACAAAAAGGACAATTTAACCTGAAGATATCATTACATTCAATTAAACAGCCTAAATAGCAAAATATGCAATAAATGTGTTAGACAATTCGAAACAAAAATACACTCGTTGATGTAATTTGAATTTAGTATACTGGCTCTAAACAGGTGCAATTCATTCATATTTTTTAGAATATTGTCTAAAAGAGATTCACTGATAACTGACATGAAAATTGGCCCATGATAAACTGATACCCTAGTTTCTTGTGCTGAGTGATCCTGGCATTCAAGTAAGTTTCACCATGGCTTTAAAACATCATCAGCTAAAGCAAAAGATTCACAAGTCTATGTATCATTAGCCAAGGGGATTAACTCACATCCGGGACAGACAAAAAGTAAGTGATCAAGTTTGATGTTTACCTATGGATATGATGTCAACTTGGGCATACAGATACTGGTTTTACTTCTAGTCTTTTTATTTCATTTATATGAATTATTGGTGTTAAACAATAAATGTGGCTCATTTGAATTATTCCTTCCTCATCCAATGTTATATTATATCCTGTCTAATATTCTGAAGCAAAAGCAACATGAGATTTTATTAAAGGGTGCTTTGATGTTTAGTTTAAGCTGCCAGTCAACTGATCCAGATATAAGCACCCCTACCAGTTACTAAAAGATCATACAAGTAATGATTTCAAACACAAATCACAAAACATAGTGTAAAAAGAGGAATTGGCAGGAGAAGATATTGATATAGGACTGAATTCTACAAAATGAATTGCACAAAATACAAATTAATCCATTGCTCCATTTGAAATTTGAAGTAAAAATGGTAAGAATTATCATAATGATCAAAGTGACTTGTAAACATATCAGGTACAGGTGATTAGCACTGTAAAGCAGTTATGACTGATTCAGACTTTCTAGATTCAACCATTATACAACACAACACTTATCTAGTTGAGTTAATTTTATATCTTGGAAGTTATACCTGGCATTTCAATATAATTCAGATAGTAATGTAATTCCCCCATATTCAATATCTATTTTCAGTTTTCACTAACCACGTGAATTCTCCAAGTCTACAAATGAACTTAATTTCAAATTGTACTTACTTGAAGTTGATGATGTTTGGATGGTTCAGTTTTCTTAGGTCTTTGATGTCAGTCTCCTTAACATCTCGTACTTTCTTGACAGCCACCTCTTCTCCACGGTACTTGCCCAGGAACACAGCCCCCTGAGCCCCACTCCCAAGCCACTGCAGGTCAGTGATGTTCTCAAACGGAATCTCCCAGTCATCTGCAATTGAGGCATGAAGAAAATGTAGCAGTGTAAACAATGGGAGATTTGTAGATGTCTCCTTTAGGAGACAATGAAGGAGACAATGAAGTAGATAATGATTTGATGTCTTCTTTGTTGCATCACATTATATGACATAGCCTAACCATACAAAAATCAAACAAATAATAATAGTAATACATAAGCATGACCTATGAAATGATCAAACTTGGGCAATAAGACTATAATAACTCTCACACAACTAACCTACCTGGAAGAGTGTTGTCATTTATATCTCCAGCTATTTTACTCCTATCCCCTGTACTTAAACCATTTCCCACCATCATTATGTCCACGTTATTATTCACAACATCTCCTACAACCATATTTTCTTACTTCCTATTCAAACTTTCCATATACAAAACTTTCTCAACTTTCTATAGGCTCATAAAATCTACAAAGTTCCACTTTCATACATCACTTTTTGTTTCCAAATCGAGTCAATCATCAAAACCAAAATATACACTTCATACGATCTAGTAGTTTCTGAAGTCCAGAGATTACAATTAAATCCCGTTTAATAACTGTTAATTCAGAACTAAACACTTAACCGGTCTTTACTTCCTGACTTCAACCACAAATGTTACGTTAACATGGTAAGTAACTTCCTCTGTATGTTCTACCAGCAGTTCAGACTCCAAGGTAAGTCCAATACTAAATGAGAGGAGTCTGCCAGAAGTTTGGCCTAAATACACCCACTCATGTACACCCTGTGCTTATGATGATAAACTGCATCATGTTTATACCACGATTTCTCTCTAAAGTTTCAATGTTTTGTCAGAGTTTCTGAACTTTCTATATAACTTGACAACTGTCGACACATCCATTGACTTTATCCTCCCTAATTCCCCCTTTTTTCACCTTATTTTACATTTAGAACCATGGCAATGGGATATTTTGGTGTGGGGAGGCTTCACTGATGAGTAAGGTTCACCTGGATTGGTTGTTAAGACTATCACGTAACTGAACTCCTGTGTTTGAAATCAGATTACTCCATGCTTATGCTACTTTTTTACTCTTTTTTACAAGTGTGAGAGACCTCAATCAAGCATTGCCATATAAATTCAAGGTTTGAACTGAATTTCAGGCCAGTTAATAGCTTGCTTATTTCTATCAATTCTACAATTGCTACAAGGGACAGGAGATATTATTGATTGGTACAGACTTGAGTAGTTAGTGAAGGGAGCGTGCAACAACTATGAGAAGTCTGGGATGAAGCCAAACTACTTACACTGGTGGCGGAGTGAGCTTATAGCATTTGATGCTTTAATCAGTTTGCACTTATCTTTTGTGTATATAAGATGTTCATTTAATTATACTCTATGTAGTGTAAATGAGTACAAATATGAAACAAATCAAGCTAATCAGTTTAGCAATCTTAAAACAAAATGGCACGACCTAGTTGCTCAAATTATTACGAGTTCAATCTTAATCAAATTGAACTTGAAGATGATTTTGAAAAAAATTGGTCATATTGAAGCAAGTTGAAAAAATACCTTTTTGACCTTTTTAAGTCTTTATCTAAAAATCAGATTTGAATTTCTGAGAACTTGTAAATGATTTTGAAAAAAATTGTTCAATTTGAAGCAAGTTGAAAAAAGACTCTTTTGACCTTTTTAAGTCTTAAATCTAAAAATCAGATTTGAATTTCTGAGAACAGTTATTTTGAAAACAATTTGGTGATGTGAAGCAAGTTGAAAAATAAAATAACATTTATCATTTGGTCCATTCAGGCTCTGAGACACTTCATAGATGACCAAAACCAAGGATTTGTGCCAATAATAGAAAACATTGAATTCTGTAGAAACACCTGTTAGATTGTGATCTATCTCCTCCCTGCCAACCTCTGATGTTTAGGGTCTAACATCCTGCTTATAGCTAATCACAAGCAATTCTACCTCCAGCAGATCACTTAGAGAAATTGTTAGTTTTAACAGATACTATCACTCATTTACCACCCAAGATACTCTCACTCAGGTTTGGTTATTTGATCATGAAAACTTTCCTCAACTTGGGTAATAGCTCAACATGTTTATCAAGAAAGGGGTAGAAATATGATACAGGTTGGACCGAAAATGATACCATTATTATATTTTGCCAGATCAGAATAAGTAACATTTTTGGCCAAACCTGTCTTTAAAATCCTTAATTGATTTTGAGAAATCACATTGATTCTGTTTCATCAAAATTGCACATTTTCAAAGTAATCCAAATTCTTTATTGCAAGTTTTGGTTCTGATATGTTTAATTGTTTCTCATAACCAATCATTCATAATCAAATCTCTTGATTTAGAATAGTTTGAGAGAAGTAATTGAGAGTAATTCGGCAAATTATCTTAGGTTATCTTTCTATTGGAGGTTATTGATTAGAAAATAATCAAGAATATCGAAAGTTACACTTCATTATATCATACTTCTCTCACTCATAAGGCTTTTCTTGATGATAAAATATGACATATTTACAGCTGTTTTATCCAACAAAAACTACATGAAGCAGTTATGTTTTCAATTAAGTGAGTTCTGGTATGACACTTTAATGAGATTAGATGCTGAAGGCTAGAGCTGCCAGTGCCAACAAACTTCAATATATCTCTGGTCATTTTTCAAAATCTGAATGAACTGAAAAATGTTTCGCAAAAACGTGGCATTTCTCTATCATTTAAATTGTAAATGTTAAGACTGATTACTCCTTTCCTTGCTTTTGCATTGATTTTCATGCATAGTATAATATCCAAACAGCAACACAAATGTTACATGACAATGCATTGAAGTCCAAAATAAATATTGTATTCATGCCTTACTTCCTGAAATGCTCAATAAACAGTATCTACAATGATTACAAGGTAAGTTTTTTGGGTTAAATGTATTTTTATACAGAGGTATGCATTTACAGGTGAAGTCAGAATGAAGAATATACCTTCAATATCCGGTGTTTTATTTATTTGAACAAAGGAGAATGTAACATATCCATCTGAGGTTCATAAGCTATCATGCCATTAGACAAATATACTACTATAATTACTTTTTGTGGTTTTGAGGTGAGCAAACTTATCTCTACAGAAGGAAATAGCCTCTGGCCATCAGATATGTTTAGAAGAAAAAATAAACACCCTTGTCTTGAAATTTCATACTCATGTCACCCATCTTCTATCAACTTTCGATGAGTTTCCAGATTTCAATTTTTCTAGAATATAATACATTGTAAAACATGAAGTCTTTTAGGTTTTTTATAGGTTCGCTTCACTGCAAGGACATGAAACCATTATATGAGGGATGACATGTATGAGAGGGATGAGGATGGCACCAAGGGGATCTAAAACTATTACATAACTAATGACTTCCGGGCTGTCTTGGAATTCAGAAACTTCTTGATTGTTACAAACAGGTATCTGACATTGATTGAAGTTTAATGAAGTAATGAAACTAAATAATTTGCTGACAGACCAGTGCTACATGCTTATCAAAGGAGGAAATGGTTACATCTGTGTTATAGTTTCTTATACCCTTTTCAATAGTCAATAAAAAGCATTTTCTTTTAAAGAGAGCTCCATCTAAATCTCCATCTCATGTACTAGGCTGTCATACTTAGGATAAGTTTCAAGTGATTGAAATGTCTTGGAGCTTACGAATTCAAGATAGAATAGAAAATAATAGAACTGGAAATGCAAATGTGTCCATTGGTCCTTAATATAAGGGATGGGGGTTTTGACTCTAGGTCAGTTCAAGGTTATGCATTATAAAGTCTTCCACAAAATCACAAATGCATTGAGTGCCAATCCATTCCCCCATTGCTAAATGAAAGATTAAAAACAAATAAAGAATTAAAATGTTGCAGTCCCACCTGCATCAAGCAAGGTGTGGTGTGGGGGATATCATATACAGGTATTATCAAATCACCTGAGATTCGCTTAATGAACAGATGTGATTGAATAACGTTACATTCAAACAGCTCAAAAAATAATCAAATGTCATGGACCACCGCAAAACGGGGAGGGGACATAGATTACGGAATCTGACCACCCAGCATGTAAATTCAAGAATTCTTTCATAATACATATTCAGGGCCTCTTAGCTTTCACTATATAACGTCATCCTGGATAAACAAAAGTTGTTTTATTTTGGATAAAATACAAAGTAGGCTCATCTTGCAGATATAATGAATTTTCATAATTTTTCCTAGAGTATGAAAACAATTTGTCGAGGGATAAAAAATAATGCTATGATTAAATAAGATGTAATCATTTTTGTCATAATAATTATGAAAATAAAAAGCCTCCCACCCATATAGGAGGATATTTCAAAGGTGTCCATAACATCTCTGACAGTACCACCCAACTTGAGCAACTGTAAGCTCCCTGTCATAACACACAAATATACAGATTAGATTTCCAGAAAGTCAGAAGAACGGCATCTGAATGGTTGCAGAAAGTTGAATGAAAACTTACCAAAATTTGAGGGTATCATTTTATCTGCTAATCCTGGTAAGTGATTATTTGCCACATGAGCTAATGATTGGAGAACACCTGCATTTGTAAGTCTTTAAATCACAAAAAATATTGAACAGCCACAGGTGTAATGTAAGACTATCTGTTTTAGTAACTACAACTAATGCTGGATTGATGTAAATGTCATTTTATGCAACCAGAAACCTTTAACATTAAACCATTTATACTTGATTTTTTGACCAATATGTGTTCTATGTTATCAAAGAGTCAATAAAGCCATATACTTTATATGTATATAAAGGTTATAAAATGGTTCATAATGTATATGATGATAAATGATAAATAAATGAAGGAGCATGTACATTGAATGAGTGAATTTTTATTTTGACCAATCATTTTTCCAGTGATAAGGCCTTACTCTCTAGACTCACAACCATTGAAATCCTCGCAATCAACCATTGAAACAATCACTAACGATCATACAAAACATGAAAAACAACCACTGAAATCATCTTACTAAACAACCATCAAAACCATTCAAAAGAATTTCATCCTTATAAATCTGTCACCAGTGTTCCAAAGTGCATTTTTTACTGTAACATAATGATCAAGCCATTGTATCGAACACGAGGAGTTTAATTAAGAAACAATGACATATCTCACGCTACAGTTTATCGATTATCCCATCTACACACCTGGGTACCTAATATCTCAGGTTTAATATATCAGTGCCTAATATTTAATTCAAAAATATTATAACTTTCTAATTAGATGTGCTTCTCGACTTTTTTAGTGTAATTAGAGAATTCAACACATTCTCCTCATTTATATCTTAATATCATAACTATGTCCTAGAATGCACATAGACATTTTAAGGGTGTATTTGAGAGGAATGTGCATGATAGAGTGACAAGATGACATGTGTGGGAAAAATACTATATTCCTCAAATATTCATGATTCAATATCCCTAATTGGCAAGGTAATATTATAGGATTATCATGAATCAATATTTCTAAATAGCATCCATTGTCAATGTCAGCAACATTATATCGTAAAAGATCTACCAAAAAAATGTGAACATTAATGTAACACATGAATAATTTATGCATTTTATTCATGTACATTGCACTTATCATCTGCCATGACATATCTGCATTGACTGAATGACAATAGAGTGAAATGCAAAATCTCATTTCTGTAGCATTCATTAATGAAACAAAACAATGTACCATCATATTTCCACATATCAGATATAGGAATGGTTTACACATTTGAACATTAACTTAAAAACAGCCTCTTACATATTATAGCTTCTACCTTGAAATATAACTGTAATAAAATCGATCTATCTACGTCAAACACTCGTTCACACGCCTTTCACAAAAGAAGTTTATCGCCATTACCTACTTCTCTAAGTTATTTATTACATAGGACTGTATGGCGAAATAAGTAGCATTTTCTGTAGTTTTCAAAATTGGCATATTGTCGTAAATTTTCAGAGTTTAATATCAGCTCAATCAGAATGGGGGCAAGGTTAATGATCTAATATTCATGATGGACAATTGAGCAAACAAAAGAACCGCTTTTACAGTATTAATCAAAGTACAGAAAAACAAGTCCTAAAATAACTCAACCACTCGCAGAATCGATTTCTAACTTAAGGATGACGCTTGACGTATCTGTAAACCAATTACTAAACTCATGCAATAAAATGAGAATATACCACACACTCTACAGAAATAGAATAACATGTATTTCTAATAATAATAAATAAATGCATATGATCATGTTCAGAATTGTTATCAACTGTTCGAAATATCTTCTCTCATGAGGGCAATAAGACAATAAGACAATAAAATGCATTCTGATACTCATAGTATCTTTCTGTTTCACCTCAGGGCTGAGAAGAAATGAGATGTAATGGTTTATCACGATGATAAAATGTGATAATGCCAATGCAGTTATTCAAAAATTCATGGAGCCAGTCTTGAAGCAAGACTTTCTATTTCAAAGTGATAAAACAAAATGCTTACTTGGTTTCAGTCAAATTAGCCTCTATGCCCAGTTGTCCATTACATGTGTTAAGTATTGCAAAAAATATGACCAAATACTATTCTAATGCACGATTCTTACCTTGTTGGTGTTTTAGCTCTGCCGCAGCTGCCTTCCCAATGATGGTCCACACTGGTCTTAGACATCCCAGAAGTCCTTCAAAAAAGCCTGCAGTCTGCTGGCCAGTCCTGTAGCTTACGTCCATATCAACAGAAGAGTCATCATTGCTGTCTGGACTTGTTGCTGGTGAATTTTGGGTAGCGGCACTGGTGGTGGCAGTTGATGGCATGGAGTTTGAGGACTTGGTGGCAGTGATACTGATCTTGTCCAGATCATTCTCCAGACAAAGCATACTGCAAAGACAGATTATTGAATTTGATTACTATGTTAGATTTTTGTTATAATCTTATTTTAGTAATAATCATGTTCAACCTCTAAGATGGTTGTAAGACAAGCTGGAGAAACTTAAACAGTAATGGGCATCAAGATGGTTCATAATACTATCATGCCATTCCAACTCACAACTTTCAGAATACACAATTGCAATATTTGTAGAATGTACTGATATCAAAATATCTCCTACACTTGCATCCCAATATTCCAGTACACCCCTTAGTCTGGTCATTGTGACATATCTGATATCTGACAATATTTATTACTTATTCATTGCAAGCATTTACATATCATGCAAAAATAATTGTTTTTGAGAGCCACATATAATTGATTCCATATTTTCAAGTGCTGCATAATTGCAATACAAACATTGCCACCATTCATTATCACACTATTGAAAGAAGGCTATAAAAATAAAAATCAATTCCCAAAATGTTTTCTCAAATATATGTACAATGACAGCCCTTAAATAAAAGATGAGGTGTTGCCTAGCGTTATGCATGACACCTAGATCCCCATTATCAGTAATTCATTCACTATATGGAAGGAAACATGAATTGTATTTAGTGATTAATAACAAAAGCAATATGTACTTTTATGCAAAAATATGATTTTTAGAAAACTTAATAATTTTATACGATGAAGCAAAAGGGTGTGAAACTTCTATAATTATGAGGTTATTGTGTCTTTCCAATTGAAAAACTATTCCCCACAATTAGGCAATTTCATTTCCTGATTCCTCTGGTCCAATCAATTGAAAATCAGTGCTAACTACAAAAGTTCTTATTTCATTATGGATAAAGCAAATTTTGGATCAATAATGGCAGGATGCCAACAGGATGCGGTTGACGGGTTCATCATTGAAATATCTTGATTGAGAGCCTTTGCTTGGTCTTTACATAGAATGATGATCATCAGCAAGTTATTACAAAATCACAACCAATCATGTGTGTCTACAACTTTTCACTTTAAAATATGAGATAAATAGCAACTCCAAATAGAAGTAAATCCTTACAAAACAAAACATATTTTATCAAATCACACTTTTCATTTTAATGATAAAGATAACCAGTCAAAAGTAGGGACTATTTTTGTCTACATGCGTGACACATGACCCAAACTGAGCATGTAATATTCAAGTTATAGCCATTATACAGTCATAAATACTGCCAATTATATATTGTTTACGTTAAAGAGACAATAGAAATTGACGATTATCAAGAACAATTTACAAGAATAAAAACTGTCAAGAATAATAACCAGAGCTAGTAAAAGTATCCAAAAACACTTCTAAACTATGAAAGGCTATACAGACAGGACTAGGCTTAGATATTTTAATTGTCTACTCCTGTAACCACAAAATCCAGGTATTAGTCTGAGAGGTTCAAACCTAATAAGAAAGATGACCAATATACATTTTCAGCTAAGTAATATCATGTCCATAGATGAACTTTCATGACCTAACATATGAGAGGCAAATACATATCAGTGATCTCCCCAGCATTAAAGCAAGTGGGCTACAAACCTACAAATCACCGGATAAATAGTCAAATTATGCCCACCTGAAATTTTGAAAATAGGCTTGCACCCATCTGAAAATCCATTTGCACCCACTTAAAAATGAGAAAAATCAGGAAAAATTGGCATATTTTGACCAATTTTGGTCTGAATTGTGAAAATGAGAATTTTGCACCCACCTCTCCTGGGGAGATAACTGCATGTATATACCAATAGAAGATAAATTATCTGTTTCATAATAGTTTTTAACTGTTACTATAGAACTTAGAGACAACAACCTTAATCAGATGCCATTTTCACCTTTTTAGAACATAATTTACTATTCCTATTATTCTCATCTTCCTATTTTTTACATGCAAGTGTTAATAAACACGAATAATATATGGCACTTATATGCACTTATGCATATGGCTTTATATATTTTTTAGAAGCAGGCTCTCGAATACCCCTACATCTTGGATTAAACATTCAGTCACTTGTTACCCCCATTTCTTGAGAATGGGAGAGGGGGTCAATCCAGGGGGTTGTTGTAAAATTGGTAAATTAATAATAAAAAACTAACAAGAAATATGTCTCATATATTAATATATTTACATGGCTATTTTAATCCACTCTATTGTCTTGAGTAAACATGACCACAGAGATCTTATATACGCCTAGATACAACCTAGTTAATAAACAAGCCGACAATAAGTCTGATGTCTAGAAATGCGATTGCGTTTTTATTCAATTTGTTCATGCATGGCGGCATTAGTCTTTTCAAAGGGAATTGCAAATAACATTTGGAACATGATGCATATGTCATTCTGATATCATCACATCTTATATGCTTTGCAGCTAGTAAAGGTAGCAAATAGAATTAAGGGTTGTGTTCTCTTATTATTATATGATAGGTGGGTCTTAGATTTTTTGATTAGATTTTAGAATATAGAATCATTAAATGCTATAATATTCATTCAGTAATGCCATATGAGTAAAACTTATCCTGCCAACACAGTAAAAACAATTAGTTAAACATATAAACAATCAGCCTGTGAAACTCTCAAGAAACACTAGATAAATAGGAGCCTGGATTTTGAAGGTCACACTGCTGAGGTCCTAGTTTAAGTCGTGAGAGCTTCCATTCTCCAAACACAAGGGCTCCAGACAATATATTCTGTTCCTCCCTTCATAATGGATGATGTCTTGGGCCCTGTGTTCGAAAGATGGACAGCTTCTTACTTCTGTCACGCAATATTAGTGCATAAATGACTGAAGGAGGGTTCATATAAGAGTCCCTTTTATATCTAATGCTTGACTGTACTAAAAGGAATGATAGGTCCCACAAGGGAGACAAATCCATATGAAAGTACATAAGGTACATAAAATCACTAATGCAGAATGAACTATAGTATTTCCAATAACTTATTTTAGAAATTGTTAAATTCAAATGTTGCCATTTGTGCTTTATCATATACCAATAGAAAATATAATAGAAATAGAAAATTTGATTTTCATCGAATCAAAAAGTGATTTTTTAATTTAAGTTTACTGGATTAATAAAACTACCATTAACACAGAAACATAGACCTCAATATAGAAGTGATCATAGGGTACTATTCCCTTGTAGGTGATAACCCTTTGCAATAAACATTAAAAACAGCTTTTAATGATACGGATTACCAGTATGTCTATAAAACAACCTTAATTTAGTTAGTCCCTGGTGCCAAATTAATGGTTCAAGTCTCCAGAAAGTTGCGTTTCCATGGAGAAATGTGTCTCTCTAATACTAAAGCAATCAGTTTGTGGTTTAGCCAGGAGCAATAATTCTACACTAGACCTGGTATGAGCTATAAGGGCCTTGCAAGGCTTAAGTAAATCTGGTGCACAACTCCTGAATATGAACAGTCTATGCCATGCTGTGAAAGACCCAAGTGAACAAATACAGACATCTGTGCAATTTCTCAGAACTGTATACATGATTGTTATGACATCATCCAGCAGACATCTCTACTAAACAAGTTAAGATTAATGTTAATATGTACATGTATTCTATTTTATCATGCCTTGGAATTGGTGATCTATGAGAGAGAGTGAGCATAACAAGATTTATTAGAGTACCAGAGGAAAGATTGGATACAATAGGCTTAAAAAGTGTATTATCATCAAGAAATACAATGGCAATTTCAATCAGTGTTCATTGTACAAAAGGAGATACAATAAGTATCAGAATGGTATATCATGAGAAATATAATTTTACAAAACATATTCCTATACCCCGATTGTTTTGAGTTATTTCTAAATACACAGCTATCTTTAGGAGGAGACCTATCCCCTCTTGAAACTGATAAGTAAAATGACCTTGAGAGCTTTAGGTTTTCTCATATAATTCTTTTTGATCTATATGACTCATATTATGATTTATAAAAGCTAATAATAAGAAAATCAAGGCTACTTACCTCAAATTTTACCAAAAATATGTTTATGAATATTATTTTAAAGTATTATACTTAAAAATACAAATCAAAGTAGAAAGGAGTATAATTACAAAAGAAATTAAATAATAGGCACAAGTCAATCAAAAAAGTATAAAATTGCAAGAAAGTAAAAAATATTAATGAGAATGGTATGAAATATATATGACAGCAGCATTTGGGTTTAGCATAAGAGCAACTGAAAAGTCACACGATTATCTGGCAGATTAAGGATCAGGTTTAGCAACATCAAAGATAAAAGTAGAGGAGTGTGCTGGTTGCTGCTTGTATCTGGGTTTACCTGGTGAGTACACACGCCATGTCTCATTAGCAACACTTCCAGATATCAGGTAACATCTCAGAATTAAAATGTCTTAAAACTAGCAGTAACAGTACAGTACTTTGAACCGATGGGGAGATGGGGCAGTAAGGCTAAGAATCCCAATGTTAAACCGAATGCGGAAAATAAGGAAGTCCGAATTTGTTCCAACATGAAATGCATTGTGGGAAATATTCTCCTCATTTGAAAACAAATTCTGCTTGTCCTGATTGGAGAACTCAACGAAAAATCAGAAAATAAAAGAGACAAAGTGACAAGTTATTGACAGAATGACCAAATTGAAATCACAATTGTTCTAATTTGAATTCACCAAGTATTGAAAATCATGAAATTAATATTTTATCATATACTGTATTACTCTTTTACAGGAGATGAGCCAAACTTGCTCCTTTAAGAGATCATGGAGTCGCAGGGTTCGGGCGAACCCCCCCCCCCTCCTGGCCAAAAATTCTTTCAAAATCATGCAGTTTTTCACCATTCTGAGCACTACTCAAGTGATTTTAGCCATATTTGGGCCAAAATTGTCAAATGTGAACCCCCCCTGGAAATTTTTGAAAACTGGCTACGGGCCTGATACATTATACTAGGTTATCTTGTGGTTTATGCAGGTATAAATCGTGATACTCAGACAAATCAACTCCACACACTCCTATCTCTACTTATACAGAAGACTAAAAAACTATTGTTTCATCAATAGACGATAAAATGATAGACAGGACTGATATCACCCTTATTCCCAGGCACCTTAAGTTTGTTGGCTACTCTTCCAAGACAACTTGCCTTAATCTACTTGCCTTGTTTGAAACATTAGTCAGGTTATTATGCATGGTCATTCCTTGGATGGGGTACCTTATACTTCTATATAATCTAGATATAATAAGCTTAGTTAGTGCAAGCTTTACATGTATAAGAAAAAAAGTCTCGAGTTTAGATTTTGTGTTTTTTAACAAAATGGCATTCTGATACACATAGCATCTTTCTGTTTCAAGGCTGAGAAGAAATGAGATGTCATGATGGCAAAATGGGGCAAACAAAAAACCCAAATAAAACATAAATACAAAACATAAATTTTTTTATGATAAAAGCACTGAATGTAGGTTGCATCTCCTGGACTAATTACGCTTTCACAACTAGAGATGACTTCTTTGTTTATACGAGAAGTAATAGGTAGATTATATGTAACCTCTGAAGTCAGGTCCTGTTGCAAACATCTAAGTACTTCCAGTCCTCATACAATCATATCATCAGACTGATGTAACCACATCATTGCATCCTAAATTGTTACATCAATAAACATCTTCCAGTATCTTCATATAATTTATCAATTTCAATTTTTTCATTTAAATTATAATGAAATTATAGTGAAATGGATATTAAATATAACATAACCTTACCTGATCTTGCCAGATTGAAATAATTTTCACTTTTCTTGTGATATATAAGTTATGAGTGTCCATCATGGCTTTGATGGTTCAGCTATTACTTTGAAGTTGGTTTCCTTTAATTAAAGGTATGCTTTAAACCTTTGATGTGGTCACTTAATACTAGTAAGGATTAACATTGCAACTCATTCAAAGAAGCAGATTTCAACAAGTTTATAACATTATGTAATACCATTGGAAAGTTATTGCTATATAAATGTCAAAAGACTGAAAGTAAGTTAAAAGACTCAATAAGGGATAGGTTATAAATCGATGGCATAAAATTGTGAAATGTATCTCTCTCATTATACCTGCTCAAATATGGCTCTATCTATATTTAATCATGGGCAGCCCATGATTTAATTCAGTAAGATTTTAAATTAGAAAGAAAGATTTTCCAGTTTTTCATATTTTGATTTAATGTTTGACTTAAAAATGAAGTTTTTTCCAGATTTTTATGTATCCATTTGAAACATTATTTATCCCTCTTACACCCTTTCCTTAAAACAATTTTTGAGATGGTCCCTATAATAAACATCAAAGGCTTGAGTATGATGATGTTCACAGTTTAAGCCATAAATATGATAACAAGATCATTATACCTGGGAACAAATATATGGAAACCCTAGCCCTTGATATATGTTCTACTCATCAAAGGATCACTGCAGTTGAAACATCAAAGGTTTGGTTTATATACTAATTGATTAACATTACTGGTAATTTCCTCAGAGATTGTATCATAATATAAATAAAAATACAGTGATAGTGAACATCTCTCTTGTGAGCCCTCTTTCTAGTAAACATCCTACATTGGTAATGTTGTAAACAATTATCAAGAAGTGAACTTATGAAAATACATAAAGAGAATACCTTTCTACAGTGAAACCCTCTTTCTAGAGAACACACTTCTACAGGGAAACCCTCTTTCAAGAGAACACCGTTCTCCAGTGAAACTTTTCAAGAGAAAACCTTTCTACAGTGAAACCCTCTTTCTAGAGAACACACTTCTACAGTGAAACCCTCTTTCTAGAGAACACACTTCTACAGTGAAACCCTCTTTCAAGAGACCACATTTCAACAGTGAAACCCTCTTTCAAGAGAACGCCATTCTCCAGTGAAACTTTTCAAGAGAAAACCTTTCTACAGTGAAACCCTCTTTCTAGAGAACACACTTCTACAGTGAAACCCTCTTTCTAGAGAACACACTTCTACAATGAAACCCTCTTTCAAGAGACCACATTTCAACAGTGAAACCCTCTTTCAAGAGAAAACCTTTCTACAGTGAAACCCTCTTTCAAGAGAAGACCTTTCTACATTGAAGTGTCATAACCATCGACAACTCTTTATTAAATAGATCTTATAAGTTACCTTTCTTCAATTTCCACATCATCTTGAACAACTTTTTTAGTTGAGTTGTATCTGTAGAGTGAAACTTGCTCTTTGAATACTACACTTCCTGCTCGACTGACTCCACAAATGCTTAGTTTGTCAGGTTCGCTCTCCGCCATGTTCACAAGTCTTCACACTAACGTTCTGTTACATGTTATATTGTTTTTGCAATATTAAGTAAATAGCCCTCACAGTTCTTTGCTATGGTTACTTGCCAAACAAAGACCAATCACTGACCAATTTGAAACCACTTATCTAGGCATTCTTTTGTCGTATCTTGGGTTGGTAATATTACAACTACTCCAAACTATTTTCAAATTTGTTTTTCTTTTGAGCAAAATGTCCATTTGATAAATGTAATTAATGAAGATAAATATATTTAGAATCATATCAAATGTAATGATATACAGTTGAGCCCTCTATTTCAATATATTGTGTTGTCAAGGTATAACTCTAATGCATGTTTTCTGGACCTGAACCTAAATGGAGTAACCACTGAGCATTTTGCATTTTGCACTTATCTCTCAATTAATGTAATCGAACCCCGTAACCTAGTCCAAAAATGTGAAAACTAAAAAAATGACAGCTCAACAGAGTAGGAAATCCTTAAGAACAAGTACTTAACTATTCCCCATCTTCTACTAATCATGAATATTTAGTGTAAAAAGACAGACTGATGTCCAGACCGCTTCACTATATCGCTACTAAGTATGTTTGTAAGGGTAATCACCAATACCAGGTGAAAATATGAACCAGTTGATGATTTTGAAATGACAAACATCCCTATTTCAGTGGCAAACCCGAGAAGAAGGAGAAATCTGTTTGTACTAACCTATTGGAAAACAACTCTTCATGCTCCCCACTCGAGCACATCACATTTAACGTGGTTGGACTCATCCTGCTATTCATTGGTTCATCTTTCTTGGGAACATTCAGCTTTGACTGAGTTGTGCATGGTCCGGAAGAGCTCGGGGTTGGTTGCGGGGGTTTAGGCCGCTCCAACGTCATTTTGCAAGCCCCGTCTAGTCAATCCCTGAAAGCATAAAAACATTTTTCATTGTAATTATTGTTTCAAAACAGATTTTGCCATGCTGTCTCTATAGAGAATTATTCAATGAGAATATTCAATGAATGATCCTCTTGGAGACTATGGAGAGGAATATTTCACAGGTGAATGACTACATTAATAGATAGATAAAAGAGGGTCAGATATGGAGGTTAATTGAATTTTCTCATCCAAATGAGACTCACACATTATGCATGGAGCATCTTGATTCACAAGGTTTCAGTTGCTCCAACTTCACTTGAGATGGTGTTATCACAATTTGAAAGTCAAAAATGGCATGGAAGGATCATATGATGTTTGCAGGAAAATTCAAGACAGGGATCAAGATCTCCCTGGGTGCAGAGTTTAGTTCCAAACTAAGCTCTAAATAGGTTAGACAATATTACAGTTTAGCAGTCCTGTCTCCACTGCGAGTGACTATCACACACTGGTTCAAAACTCATAAATCAGCAAACCATATTCATCTCAATAATGTTTATAATATTGATATATATGTTGTTAATACTGGATCAATTTGGCTCTATGAGTTCACAGGTTCCCCTTAACTTGAAATGTATAAATGAAGCTACTGTACCAAAACAGTATATTCACAACCCTGTGTGCAGTCTAGTTATAAACTACCCTCTGCCCAATGTAGAGCCGTATAGACTATATTACAGTTTACCAGTCCCGCTCCAAAGATTGGTACCTGTGACAGCCAGGGTAATAAATCATTTCAAATCTACCACGCTGACCCTTTCTCAACCAATCAGATAAGTAGAAGGAACACATGCTAAATACGTGCTCATTAACTATGCAGTTATGTCATAGGATATAACCATATAGAAAGTCATACGTATTTCGAAGACGAACACTGATTGGCTCGGTGAGATCAGAGATTTATTGTTAACTGAAAGAGTGAAGATGAAGCTCTCTTTTAAGAAGTGAAGTCGAACAAATGCAAAGGGTATAAACATGTATTCACATACAAGCGAGAACAGGTTGACATTTTGAAGTGTTTCATATTTTACATTGCATGAAAATATGATTGGAATTTAATGGGAGAAAGTGTCAGCTGCTAACAAGATAGTAGCAATAGTTATTACTACTAAGTAATCGACTATAACTTTTTACATATCAATCACCAGCAGAAAGTTTGATTTGATTCTATTTTGTTGGTATACAGATTTGAAAATATTGCTTAAATTAGAACCATTTATCTCCTAATAACCTAACATGGTTTGCTTTTATATGACATAGGCCTAATTGTGATTCTAATACATGTATGTTACATCACAATAACTAGAACAATTGATTTACAGGTCTATAATAATCGAGTGTGTATCACTATTAATTTTCAATGTAAACCAATAAATCTGATACCTGTTATGATGGAATGCTTTTGTCATTTTATTTTAAAATTGTAACCCTGCTTCTAGGATTTTGACAAATATTTTACCCCAGATTTTATTCTGGCTATTGACCCTATTGCCTGGGCCAAAGATTTGCTGCTCTATTTTGGTCTTTTAACAATGAACAGAATAGAATCTGGATCTTTATTTCTTAACTGAATTATGAAAGCTTCAGGACTAATTTTGTAATTATATTTTACTTGCATAATGTCCAAAACGACAATATATAATCAGTATAAAACATACAATGTACAAGACATCATATAAGTCACCAGTGACCATATATGGAAATTATACGTCTAAATCTCTATAGTAGCAAGAGAACAATTCATGGACGTCGTAGGTGGTGTGATTCAATGTCCAATCACAGCGGGAATGAATCTTCCCATTAATTCTCCACACAGAAGCATGAATTGCAATAATCTAGATCATAACATGCAATATTAAGCGAGAAATAGAAACTGCACGGGGAAGTTACAGCGTTCTATATATTGATTTTTCTGCATTCTGTAGAAGTGGATATTCAAGTCCTACAAGACTGAAGCATAATTTAGTTCAATCAATGTATGGAGCAATTTACAGGGCATTGTTCTGAGTCCCGACCCATCAAGAAAATCAAGTATAATCTTTTTGTGACTACAACATATCAGAAATGTAGTAAAATTAGGAAGAAATAAGGTAAACAGACATGAATGACATACTCTAACTTATTTAGAAATGTTAGAAAATCTTGTGATTATTTCAGAATCTAGTGAGAAAAAACATTGAAAATCATGAACAAGGAGATGTTTTATGTCATGGTAAAGATTATTCTAATAGCAGAAATATATAATATACAATATTAGATTATACTAAATTGTCCATAATCATGTAATTATTGTTGAATATTACTCTACTATTTACACCTAATACCAATTATTTATAACAAAATCAATGCCAGATTCTTTAGTAAATGTAAATTATAGTTTGAATGACTCCCACCTATATTTGTATACTTTATCATTATATTGTTTGGTGGGGTTGTGTGCAACCAAATTACATATTATACATGGGGGTAGCCAGGGGGTGCGATCGCCCCCTACCCCCACAAAAAAAGAAAAAGCATTGACAAATTATAATTTGAAATGCTAAAGAATACACCACATACATTGTTAATTTTGAAAAATTTACGGGGGTGAATTCCTGGAACTCTTTATAAAAAACTATTACAACAATGTGCAATGTGAGATTGTGGAAATATATAGTAATCAACAGTTTTTTAAAGCTCAGTTGATATTAAAGAGTATTTAGATTATAAATGCCACAGTTACTGGACTGGGAGAAAGTTAATATGTATCTATAAAAACAACATACCATCGCAATTATCATAATCCTGAACTATCAATGCACTGTAGTTAAGTCAATAGTTTAATAATAACTAGGTAGGATGAATATCTATGCATATATCACTATCAAAAATACAAAATGTGTCAAAGAAGACATATTGATTTCCAATATATCAGTTATTTTTAGTTTCAAAACATTTGTTAGAGTTGAACTGTATATAAAATAAGCAAAACTGAAAAGTGAAATCAATAACTAGTACAATGTGAATAACATTTCTAAATTACATTGAAAATAAATGTTTTGTAGATCAGTTGATCTGAGTCTTATTGGTTATGTATCCAAGTTTAAACCAAAAGTGACAGTAATTAATTAGAAACAATAATTAACCAAAGCGACTACAGATGTACTTGTTTTACATACATTTAGGCACATCCGCATTCCATACATTTAAGTCCTGGTTTCATTTGTGGCTAATTTTCCTCTTTTAATAAATGAGTTACAATATTCTTAATTTAATTCAAATCATATGTTAAATACAGAGTCTGTTTAATATTCTACTTATTCAATACTATAATCTTTAATTGCTGGTTGAATTAACATTTTATATTTTTCTCTTTAAGCTTGGGGCTGAATGTTACATGACATAGAAAACAAGAGAGCAAACTTAGTATTACCTGATCATGTTATATGTACATTTTAACTATCAATAAAGAGGATGTAACAAATGGTTACACTAGAGAACACAGCGAAAAAAACCTCACAATATACCTTGGGCCTATGCTCCTCAATAAGGTACAAACAATATCTCACCCATATAAGCTCAAATAAGCTTTTAATGAAATTAGCTCAGTTCATTAGGTATATGAACAATGATAGTCTTGCAACAAGTTCTCCCCCCTTATCTAATTCACAGAAGTTGGGATGGGGAATCACAAGGGCTAGAACAATGCTAGAGTTGTGCTTTTGAAATGTTGCTTCTCATGCCTTTAGGCCTACATAGTCTAGCTATAGAAACTGGACCACTTTGTAGCAAACAATCAATTATGTAGATAATTCTGTTTCCCAGTGCCTAAAGCGGCATTTTGTACATTTCCTGCTCAATCAGCTGGTAAGCAAGCTAGGCTGCCAAGCTTACAACTCTACGATAACACTTCATCTCAACTAAAATATCAATGATATATAGTCATGCTTGCTTTTTTGAAAATCTATTGAAGAATATGATTTCTTGCAAAGGCCAACACAAATGTTTTTTTAAAAATTTTGGACCATGTTTTAAAAATATTATATTTAGTATATTGAAAGACTACCTTATATCGAACACTAGGCTTAAACCATCTACAACAATTACAAGAAATTCTTTTGGGACCCCAAAAAATATTATGCAATCATAAACATGTGTACAAATTCACTAGGGAAATTTTTAGGAGAGGTGCGTAGTAGTTAGTAAGTAAATTGGTAAGTGTGGTAAGTGAACAAGATTATGATAATCATTGGTCTGACTCATACTAAAGTCAACCCTGGGGTACCATGTACTATTATACTCCTATATTGTTTGATGTTCATGGGAGGCTGTGTCATTCTGTTCTATATGGTCTATTCTAGTTTTTGGAATGCATCTTCATAAAATACAACTGTTTACTCCAGTTTGACAGCAGTGACCTCTGGTCTCAGTTAATAATTTCAAAATATTACTTTCAATGATAAATATCCTAATATTCACTGATATAACACAAAATTGTTGCTATACCAGTATATATTAAACTCTTCCCTATTGAGAATTCTCTGTGATTGAAGGAAATAAAAAGGTTGGATGATAAGTTTGATTAAGGTTGATTGATTAATCTGACCTGGATTTGTAAACAGATACCGATGAGTGTTCATAGTAGATGAGTGGAAAATATGAGTGTACCAAAATAATAATAGAGGCCATCAATCATGAGGAAACATATTCCCTGATATAAAATATTTCTATTGTTATGTTAAAAATATGTGATAAAGAGATGATTTATGGTAAAAATAGAGGAAAAATGAAGATAGGATTAATCTACACTTTCAATTATATAAAAAGAAGAATATTTATAATTCTATTCAAATTTATGGGAAAAAATGGAAAAATAATGAAAGTATTATATCAACAATCAGTAATGGTGTCTGACAACTAGAAAATTGCTATTTAGATTTCAGCTAGATTAACTTCATGATGCATCTTAATTAGTGAAAAAACATATTCCCTCTGACATTTCATTGTATTAATATACATGTACATGTACTTTGAAGCTGTGTTATTATATTATATATTTGGTAATCTGGTGATTTTTAAAGGAAATTTAGAAATAAAGTAGGGGCTGGTCCCAAGTTTCGATATACAAAGTATTCATAATTCCTCAAACTTTTCTTTTTGCTACAAATAGGCCCAGATTTTATCAAAAATATATACCATGGTAAATGTACATGTGCTCTAGATACTTTTAAAGCCTATTTTTCAAAAAAGGGGCCATAGAATTTTCTTTACCACGGACCATGGGCTTTCAACTAGAAACTCCATGCATGGACATATAATCCATAATGCTATGCTACATCTGTATCTTAAATGAACAATTTTCTGTATGACGTTACATTGTAATCAGGGCGTAATCAGGCATCAATGGCCAATTTATTCATTACTACTGACCGACATCTGACAATGATTATTTCATAATTGAAGTACATCTCATTGATTTATAAATATGTCAGATCATAGCTTAAATATAAATATATCTCAATATTCATCAAAAATTGTCAAAGGATATTTAAAGTTTAACAAAGTATCTTTTCCATGATCTTGAGTTTCTGGAACATATATACTGATATTCAATACAAAACAATCAATTCTGGGATGTGTATCTATATCTGGTTTACACATTCAAATGGTAATCTAGTAAACTGGGTCAACGAGGACATCTACATATAAAATGACAGAACTGTATTTAGCCAGAAGCAATGTCCTTTTGATGTCACTTGTACATGGTATGCAAAGTGCATTTGTCATCTCACATGTGTTATCTGCAGCATCAAACGATCACAACACCTCATGGACAAAATCTGGTGATAGGCCTAATAAAGATGATGTGGCTACTTTATTATTGCATAAATAAACAACAATCTATTTTTGATTAAGTGCGACCTAAGGTTCCTTCAGAATGACCTACTAACAGCCAAAACTCATGCCCAAGAAGTAACTGAAGCAAATCAAAGATCAAGTAAATGGATGTTTGATATAAAATTAAACTTTTTCCCATGATTTAATATATTTCTTTTATTGTTTTGATCAAAACTTACCGCTTAAAATCTGCCATTTTAAGCTATACTGAGTAGCTCCTATAGAGTCGGGTGTAAATCCAAATTTATGATTGATAGATATATAAATCCAACTTTGATGCTATTTTCCCATATTCAGCGTAGTCCACATCATGGACATATGGTCAGAATTGTCCATCACAGATCCCAAAGACAGATCCCAAAGCATATTTATATGCTATAAGCTCCATTTCATTACATATTTCAGCATTATTCGAAAATTCTATATTATATATTTTAGATAATATAATCCAGCAGATATTTCTACCTTTCTTCAAAATACAGACGATTCTTTAGAAATCCATGAAATTATTATTCCGTACTGAAATAAACCTGTCTCTTACTCTCAGAAGCATATCAACTATAGATTTGACAACTCTGCTATGCAGAGTCCAATTGGAATTCCAATAGCTCAGCCCCTGCTTCAAGTTCCATCAGCTACTATGGTTATTCTTAGCTGTATCTCTATAATATGTGCAAAAAGGTCTCATTTTCTAACAATTCTAATTGATCAAGACTTGACTTTATGCATGTTTAGTTTAATACTGGCTGGTAAAGTCTCTTTTTTATATATTTTGCATTTGCAAATTTCATCTCATGACATTTTCTTTATAGCACAGAGTCCCATGTGTTTGGCACCAATCAATACAGTGCTTTGAAGTATAAATAGCTTCCCTGAGTATGCTACAGGAAAATCACTCATGCATAATTTACAGAAAACAAGCAATTCAAGAGTTTACCCCTAATCATACAAGGGTCTGAAAAATGCCACAATTCCTGATTCTCTCAAGACCTTAAAAATGTCATACAGGCCACATTTTTTCTTACATGTTGTCAAAGATATCATTTCATTCTTTTTTAATATTCATTTTCACAAGTATAATTCATATTTGGCTCTCTATTTATCACGGGATGTCATCGCCTGATTTGGTCAATGTTAGGGAGCAGGTCGTTTTTACAATAAATTTCAATATTTTCAGACAAAATATTTTTTTACTGAAAAACTGCTCATTCGCAGAGAAAATGTACTAGCACATGCAATGACAATGTCAATCACGCTTCTGTACGAAATTCGGCGGAAGTCTTTTATAATCTAATACAAAGTTACTAAAAAAGGCGCGAACGCCCTACACTCAAAATGATCGTTTTTCCATTATAACTTTTTAACGTAATTTAACGAAGGCTTCTAATTATTATCCAAGATAGTCTAAATACCGATTAAAATATTTCTTACTTCAAACAGATACGCCGTCTTTTATTCAATTTTTTAAAAAATAATAAAAAATAACTCTTGTCAATGTTAGGGAGCAGTCAATGTTAGGGAGCAAAATGATTTTATCAGAATATTAAAAATGTAGCAAATGGCCATTTAAAATATGTATGGCATTTATAAACTAAACAATATTGTTTGAATGATTATTTTAATCCCCTTGCCTTAACAAAATTTAACAAAATCGATAGTCCAACGGAGTCCCATGGTTGATGACTTTGCCCCATCAAGTCCCAACGTGCCCCATCGAGCCTCATGGAGTCCCATCAAATCCCACCTTGCCCCATTGGTGTATGTTGGGCTTCACATAACATGTGACCTGATCGGAAATCCCACGATGCCCCATGGAAAGAATGAACATGTTCATTCTCGATGGGGCAAGATGGGACTCCGTGGGATTTTGCCCCATCCTGCCCCATCGAATCCCATCGAGTCCAACGTGGGACCTCATGGGACTCAATGGGGCAAGATTATATTATGCAAGTTGGGGCAAAATCCGACGGAGTCCCATTGATTCCCACGGACTTCATGGGGCAAAATCCCAAAAGGTCCCACTAGGTCCCACGCCATGTTAAGTCTATGGAGGTCCCAACTTGTCCCATTGGTGTATACCGGGCTTTAGAGTATCATTAGCAAGTGGTACACATATAACAGAGATCTGCATATACTGCATTGTCTGAGTATTGACAAATTGAAGTATACGTGTAAAAATCTACTATCATACATGTAACTGCGCAATGAGCCCTTCATAGCGTTTGTGCCAGCTATCAGGTGATACCCGGTCGTAAAGATAAGTGCGAGACTAACTCTCTTACTTTAATACTAGAAAAATATCAAATCATAGAACTGAAGGATGTCGGAGATTTCTCAAGCCTATATATCAGTTCAGATAATTTATCATCCACAATTTAGGATTGTGAACTGATGACATCATCAAAAAGTGTATATAACGATACATCCATTCATTTACAGTTAGAGGTCAACGAATAAAGAAGGAATGGTTCGCATCTAAATATTTCTAAAACGAACGTAAACAGGATTTAGCTGAAAATAAAAAATGCAAAATAACCTTTTCAATGATTTTCTTACAATTTTAACGCTTTCCTCCCCAAAGGGTATCAAATAATCATACAAACAAAATTGTTCAGTTTATAAATGCCATACATATTTTAAATGGCCATTTGCTACATTTTTAATATTCTGATAAAATCATTTTGCTCCCTAACATTGACTGCTCCCTAACATTGACAAGAGTTATTTTTTATTATTTTTTAAAAAATTGAATAAAAGACGGCGTATCTGTTTGAAGTAAGAAATATTTTAATCGGTATTTAGACTATCTTGGATAATAATTAGAAGCCTTCGTTAAATTACGTTAAAAAGTTATAATGGAAAAACGATCATTTTGAGTGTAGGGCGTTCGCGCCTTTTTTAGTAACTTCGTATTAGATTATAAAAGACTTCCGCCGAATTTCGTACAGAAGCGTGATTGACATTGTCATTGCATGTGCTAGTACATTTTCTCTGCGAATGAGCAGTTTTTCAGTAAAAAAATATTTTGTGTGAAAATATTGAAATTTATTGTAAAAACGACCTGCTCCCTAACATTGACCAAATCAGGCGATGACATCCCGTGTTTATTACATTTCAATATTTGCTTAAACCCCCAACCCTACAGACCAATGTTCAAGAATATGTGTACATTTCAGTGTTCTTGAACTTCAGTTGTCAAATTCTTGTCATCTGCAATATGTTTGGTATAAGATTTACTTCTAAAAATAAAACTCCACCACAACGTTTATCTGAATAACAAAATCTTGAAAGATTCTCTTGAAATCCTCCCAACTATGCTGCATGAGCATTTTGAGAGAAAAATATGCTAGAAATATGAGCTGAGAAATGCTGTTCTTCTAAGGAAATTGCTTTAAGAAAAATCAATATTAGGGGCTAATCTCTTTCATTCCTTCATACATATTTGCCACGAGAATAAGCCAATACGCGATAACTGTTTAGTTTAGTTCAGTTTAGTTACCTCACGTTTGAAGAGCTCTCATGAGAGGTACAACTTCGTCTACATCCGGGTTCTTTCCCATTGGATTACACAGGAGTGTGATTTTCAATGCCGCGCTACGGCTTTATTAAACATTTATGTAGAGTTGCATTTGCACAAATGATAGGTATATATGTAATTAAGATATATAACAAGCCTTTTTGAACTATAATCCCCGAATCCGAAGAAATCTGTGGTTGAAAATGCCGTCCAATTCCAGTGACGTCACTGATTTCCCAGAAATTGCTCAGACGACATCTAAGATCGAAAAAATATAAATAATGTTACTTTGAATCTCCGATTATCTTTCTGATTATTGAATAGATTGAATCATATAACTATGATTGAGGGCTGATGGAAGATCAGAAGCTGGGAAACGTCCAGAGTATTCTACTCGTTCGGCGGGCCAATGAAAATTTGTCCCTTCCAAAGCGATGCATCATGGGAGATATTTATGTAAATTACCACCTGAACTCTTATCGCGAATAGGAGTATTGATAATGGCTTTTTGCTTGATAAATTAAGGAAATATCATCTTAACTGGTCAGAATAATTATTGCAGTCATGCATATTTTGCGACTGGAGGAATTATCAGTTGGAATTAACAACTTGCAAGTTGTTGTTCTTTATCAAGGTGTTTTCAAACCGAGATTCAAACATGACCGTGCTCTATTCGAATTGAAGACTGGCTTGGAAAAATAAATACACATTCTTGTTTTTGCATGGGCAAAGAGTTTCGAAATTCTATACAGTTTTTTTCAGAAAATGTATTTTTGCTTGCATCTTATATATATCTTATATCATATATCAATATCTTATATATATTATGAGGTTGTATAATGGTTCTTTCTGTATATCGTTTTTATATTCGAGTGAGTATATGATATATTCACAAGTGAGCGTATGCTTTTCATTAAGAAAAATGACTGTCTACTGACTCCTTCATTCAAACATATTTGAAAATTAACTCAAATCCTTTCTGCTAAAGATCACATTTAAATGAATATTTTTCTTTGCTAGAGCTGACTGATAATTTAAGTCAGTTCCATCTCTATTATTTCACTCCTAGATACGTGGCTGCATTTCTGACGTGCGATATTGATTCAATTTTTGTAATGTCAAAAGCTGTTATCATTTCTAATATATCAAACAGGAAATTCAGTTTTCTTGGTTATTTTAAGATGTGATAAATGTCAAAGATTAGCCTCAAGTGCCAATGTACTAGGATGGAACCCACATCCAATGTGACAGAGATTAGAGCAAAAGATATGAAACTCATTTGGAACAATAATTATAATTCTTTAAGAGTAATGCTTATACGACTAAGTTTTCATAATATTCCAAGAATTTCCAAAGATGGTAGAAAGCCTAGTCTTGCATTAAGACTCTGGTCTACCCCTCCCCCAGTACAGATCAGTATTTAGATGTTACTTTCTGCCATTTGCCCAAATACTAATGTAAATTCCATAGCTTCTTTATGACTCCAATATCTTCTTCCAAGACAACTGATAGCTTAACATGCAGATTGCCTTATTTCAGAAATACTTTAGGTTTTATAATCATTTATCTTAATAGTATGTTTTATCTGTGAATGATCAATCACCCTTAAACACAAACAGACATTATCAATTTGACTTGAAAGACTAAACAATGTCAAATTTTCCCTGCCCCTTCATGAATTGGCATCCCTTGCTTAACTTTCCTAAATCTATTTATTTATTCCATCATATGAATGACACC